TTTATCAGCTTCTTCAACATGGTCTTTATAATTTCCAAATACAATAACATTACCGTCATGCCGCGATACCTTTCCTTCCCCGGCAACAAATGGAGACCTCAATATCCTCGCAAGCCTTGAAACCCGCTTAACTGGTAATTCAGAAGCCAGTTCAGGAGTTGGTGATCCCTGTGAATTGTAAAAGGTCACATTTAGTTCATATAAATTCGATGTACTCATTGTGTGATTAGCAGATTACACCAAAAAAAGCATAATTTGAATACCTCTTCGTCAACATTTTTGGATGCTGTGATCACATCAGATATGACAGCATCTACCTACTTCTGAATTTCTGTAGATTGCAAATCATCCGGTTGTGTGTATCCGATACCCAGGTCAAATGATGGCAGTTGAAGACTACATGAAAAGGCAACATCGTCAGTTGGGTCGACCTTTCCCTTCCCTTTCCCGTCGACAGTAGGTTGCAGTTTTTCCACCTGTATGTGAAATTGGAGAATTTGAGACATGAAAATCGTAACTATGGTCAGTGAAAGATAGATTGAACATATCATGTACCTACCTCGTCGATCTTCTCGAATCCTCCGACAACATGACTTTCTTCACCTCCAACAACAGCAGCTTCGATTTCTTCGTACTCATTAACTGGACAACCTTTCCTGTCATTGAATGCCTTAAAATCTCATCCATTGAGGTTGAGATCATTGCAGTCACGGATTCAGACATGAATTGCATGTTTGTCCTAATCTCGATCATGTCACGTTTTAATTGTCCTTACATTAGGATGATTTCAATTATCTTTTTTGCCTGATCAGAGTCGAGGCTCAACATCTGTGACTTGATGGCGTTCATCTCCACGGTTAATACTTTATTCTGTGACTTCATTTCTGATATTTGCACATTCAAATCGTAAAGCACCTGTAAGCATGATTAAAATAAATAGTTACATGTGACCTTCAAAAACATGCATGTGACCAAAATAAAGGAACTGTAACCTGTACTAAGTGAACTGTGGCCACTAGTTGAAGCATGATTAAGATAAATAGTTACATGTGACCTTCAAAAACATGCCTGTGACCAAAAGAAAGGAACTGTGACCTGTACCAAGTGAACTGTGGCCACTAGTTGAAGCTTGATTAAGATAAATAGTTACATGTAACCTTCAAAAACATGCCTGTGACCAAAAGAAAGGAATTGTGACTTGTATTAAGTGAACTATGACCACAATTTGAAAACATTCGAACAGACATGAATAGAATTTTACAGCACTCTCTTGCATTCCATGATGTTCTTCGTTTGGAGAATGTTGGGGACCTGAAAGGCCTTTATCAGCACGGGGTGTTTCCTGATGGGATGTCACCTCACATCGTCATGAAGGATCCACGAAATCGTCATCATCATCTGTAATGTGAGCATGTCTAACACCAATGTCCGATACCAAAGGCACTGATTCTTTACTCATGTGTGCAGGGTTAACGGACTTTCCCTTCCTGCTTTCCTTTCGGTGGCTGCCCCATGACAACTCTGGTTGAATTGGTTTGTTATGTTGCACGCCATCCATGTATGGCATTGCCATTTCAGCTTCAGTAGGTACCAGGTCACATATTTCAATCTGCATTGCATTACAATAAAGATTAGAGAACAATAATTTTACCATATCTTCAACTATCAGCAGAATAGGGATTATTGAAACATTACATTAAGCTTGTTGAAACAGCCCAACTCCTCTAACTTAGATGCAGAAGGTTGCTCATTTGCATTCCAGTTTTTTATTCGAGGGTGCGTCCTTGATACTCTTGTGACAATAACTTTATCTAGGTCAGGGAAGGTTTCATAGATCCATGCTTGAAAGGCTACCAACATACCTTGTAGCCTATAGTGTGCGATTTGTCGACTCAAAGCATCTTTCAAAGAACTCAAGGTAATCTCAAACAGCAACTTTCCCTATGGAAACTATTCAGCGCAAGGAAGTCCTCAACAAGCGTGAACAAGTAATTGTCAACCACTTTCTTATAATCTCCAGGAAATAAGTAGGCAGTAATGAAGTACATGATACTAATGAGTGCAACATTACGATCCGAGAGACTTTCAACAAGATCCAGATCCGGCATTTGGCACGCAGATATGAATGTGGACTTCACGTCTTCGTGTGTCACAGTATCCACTTGAGAAAAGTACTTTTTCTTCAGGTATGACGGTCTATTTTCGAAAATGGCCGTGTCACTATTGCCATAACATCTCAGTCCCGTGCCTATGCAAAACTCAGTTATAGAGAATCTAACATAATGCCCAACAACTAAAAACCACATCTCTTCAGAATTAGGTTGATGGGCCTACTGCAAGAGGAAGTAATGAATTAATTGCGGTTGTACCACAATGTAATTGGCAGTCGAGAAAATGGGCAAAGCATGTTCCCCTCATAATGAGCTTCTGTCGGTCAGATAATTTTGCTTGAATACTCGAAAGCACACCCTTGCTGACCGAAGTCGTAATCCCATCGTTCCTTTGATATGATGAATCGCCAATCCTGCAAAAAATTGTTTAGAAAGACCCAATGTTAAATATATGTAGGGAAATCACACACAGTTAGATGTATGCAACTGTGCACTCAGGCTACAGATACATTCACATTGTTGTATAACCAGAAATAATATGGTCACAGGCATGTGTAATGCTATGAATCCAGGCCTCATATTAACAACAAAACTTGGTCACAGAAGAATATCATGGTCACATGCCATAAGTATCGTGTTCTATATTCAACTGAATGAGATCACATAGGTATGTATTGTTATGCAATAAAGCCACATAACTATTCTCAAATCATGTTACAAACCATTAACAAGCATACATTATGTTGTGCAGTCAAGCCACACACCATATAAGCCACAGTCACAGTTTGACATCTTGGTGAATGTAGGCATCGTTTTTCATAATGAATAAGGTCACAGATGTATAAATCAACAACTTCAACAATCAAGCCACATGCAACAATCATTAAAGCCACACATTCATAACTCCCTCGGTCACATATTGATAATGGCGAGGTCACAGACATACTTTTTGTTATGTAATTAAGCCACATTTCAGGAGAAATCTAGGTCACGCCCAATATTGGTACTAAGAACCCTAAGCCAACAATTACAGCCGATTAAACGTCGCAAAAATTACATAAGACTTCAATGCTTTTAATCCATGAATTCCATCAACATGTTTGCCAATAAAATCATAACAATAAATACCTAAAATGATAATTACCTTTTTCGAGCGCAATTTCTTCGCAGTCCGAGACGTTGGTTGCTTATTAGGTGGTGTTTTTTTGGAGCTAACCTCGGATTTTCTCTTGCTTCTACGTTCGGAAGTATCTTCGACATTGATAACCAACTTCGTGGCCTTCGACTTCTCCATTTCAGATGTCACATAAATTAGGGCAAAAATGGTCGACTGTATTATATAATACTTGATGTGGCCGGACGTGGCTTGTATTCTAATTTGCCGGAAGTGAAATGAATGAATGGTGTAGAGGATTGAGAGATTGGGGGAGAGAGTGAGAGATAGATGAAATGGGGAAATTTCGACACTTGAGAGGAACCGTGTAGAGGATTGAGAGATTGGGAGAGAGAGAGAGTAAGAGATAGATGAAATGGTTTATTATGGAAGTTATCATAATTAAAATTTGAATTGCGATATTTAAGGAAATACGGCAGTTGCAATACATATCGTTTAAAATTTAAATTATTATTTAATATTTAAATATATAATAATTAAATTAAAACCTAAGATTTGCATAAACAACTTTGGAGTCTGACTCTTGCACTGTGATCTCCAAATATCTGGAATTCTATAATTTCCACATATGTAAATGTGTAAAATAAAATAAGAAAAAGCCCAAAAATATCAAATGAACACTCAGTTTACAGAGTCCAACTCGAAAAGCTTGAGACAGAGTCGGCAGGCAGAGCTTGTACAGAACTCTTGACTATGATCAGCATTATGAATACTCCAATCATGGTACTCTGCTGGTGAACAAAAATACCTTCAACAATACCTCGACTCTTTTCATTGTTGAGCCCGAGTGAAGATATCATCAAACCTAGGTGTGTAAACACCGACCCCATCTTCTCCAACAAGCTTAGGAGAACACGCATTGGTTCGTCCTGCTATCATCGAGGAGTCGAGGACAAAAGAGATCAAGTGTGGAATATTGTCCATGATGAGCGAATTATTTCAACATGAATTTTTGCTATGCAACACTGCATTGGTTGTTCACACTGCATTTTTTGGGCAATGTACATGTAAGTGTTATGCCCTAGGTCTAAGCGATTTAGGTTATAAACACTTTTAATATGTTTAATGTATTTATTTTTGGCAAGATCTATTATTTATTTAAATTAACATTCTGATAAATAATATTAAATAATAGAGTTCGTATATTCAAGTTTCAATAATTTGTTAATTATAAGAAGTTGTGATTGTGAGATACAAATTACATATTGGATCTTAAATAATCCATGGTCGTAAGTAATAACGAGATATGGATATCGTTATTACGGATAGACTACCAGGTGTGACATTTCTTACTTGTGAAATAAGTAGCTAATCTCACAAGCTAAAGTGTGGTGACACTTAAATGAACGCGTGAATATTTTGTTATAAAACAAAACATTGAAGACCCATTGGGAGATTCCACATAGATAACTATCAGAGTGTCGGTGGTTAATCTCTAACGTTTGATAGTGAAATTGGTCATTTGACTTGAAGTCATCATAGTATCTTATATGAAGACGGTCATACTTTGACAGTGCTGGATGTTGCTCTGCTAAGGGCTGCTAATACGACATCGCTCGGGTATTTCAAGAATCGTATGAAAGTTGTGAGTGACCAATAGATGATTCGTTACTCTTAGATAGTAAGAGATTATGATCCACAATTCATTCATTCAATTGAGTCAAGAACGAAATCATTGACCAATGTGTACTCAGAAGTTAAAAAGGAGTTTTCGACTTATATTGACTTAATAGTGGAATGAAAGATATAATCGATAATTGGGATTGACATACTTCCATATCTCGTAATTGATTATATCATATTAATTTAGGAATTATAGTTTCACGGTAAATGAACAAGTTTGATTTTGTCATACCACGTGACATTTTCTATCACATGTATTGCCCAGATACATTGGTAGATGTCAATCTGGGACGGCGAGCATCGATTGGTGATAAATTAAAAGAGTGTTTTAATTTATCGATTTTAATTAGATCAAAATAATTATTTATTTAAACTTTTGGAAATTCATAAAGCATATAAGGAGATATGGAAATTAAAAACCGAACTTAGAAGGTGTCCATAATTCTCGTATAAATCATAACATAATAGGGAGACACAGGAATTAAGAATCATACTTTGTTGTTATAATTCTAGTGCGTAACTCTACTAAATTTCAATCCTTTGAACTCACACATATAGTACATTATCATAATCATAACTTGAATTTTCGTAACTTGAATTTCGTAATTTAAATATTGAAAGTGCAATTCGTACGAGTACACTTAAATTTCTTCAACAAAGTAATAATTTATGAGTGTTTGTGGATGTGATTTATATGTGGTATTTATAGGTGCATTTAGGAGTACTAAAAGGAAAGTATCATAATAGTGTCCCTATAATTATGCATTAAATAAGGTAATGAATTATACTAATTATATAATATAAATCAATAAATCATAAATATACACACACGTAATTATATTAATTATATATATAGAAAAATAATTCTTCTTAATTCATGCCAATTTCCTTAATTTTATTTTAATTAGAAATAGAAATTATGCTACTTTCCAATATATAAATACACACACAGCCATAGAAGGAAATTTATCATTTTTCTAGAATCATTCCATATATAGTAAATCTAAGTATTCTCTATCAAAATCATGCTCATATATAGATCTATAGTTTAGGAAATTGCACGTGTAATCCATCAAATATTGGACAATATATATTTTGGTCCTCGAACCTTCGTCCTCTTACACAAAGGTCTTAATTTCATAATTAATGACTATAAAGGCTTTTGGAGGTATTACAAAAAATGAGCTAAAATACATCCATTATACAGTCCAATGGGTGTAATACTGAGTACTAAACATACGCGAAATGCATGTGAAATTGATGGTTACTTATCAGAAGCAGACTGTATGTAATAATAATTAGGCTTTCAGCTACAAGTGATGGAAGATCAATACAAGTCACTTTCACAGGATTGTTGGAGAAAAACCAGTAAACATCAGCATGGAAGAGAGGATTTACAGTGTTTTCCAATTGTTGCATCATTACTTATGCATTTGGCTTTGTCCACCGTAGATCCAGAATAGTGTACAAATATGAAATACCTCCAAGGAATCCCAATCCAACAAATATAGCTCAGGTCCCTTGCGAATTCTCTGGTAAAGGAAAATCCTAGATAAATCTACGTCAATGAAACTTGGGGAAGCTAGTTAAACAACAAGATCAAACAGTAATCAGACAGATTGAAAGAAGGAAAAGATACATTTTAGGATGAATTGAGTTCTAAGTTGAATCGATCTCCTGGTTCAGACTTCTTATCATCTGATTCTGACAGGTTTTGGTTCAACAAACTCAAACCATCCTATGAACTGAATAAATTTTGGACTAATAATTCAATATTTTGAACTCGGTCTAATTTATTTTGAAAAATGCTATATGCATGGAGTTCAATATATTTCAGATTGCATTACTTTAATATTTCTCTCTTGAAATCACTGGAAATATAAATGATAACAAAGCGGGAATAAATCTTGTATAGGATGTCAGGATCCATAACCAACCCAAATTAGACCGAGCGCTGTAAGCTGGTAAAAATTTCAACAATTTTCTCAGGATCAGTTCAATGGTGAAAGATGCATGTTAATCGTCAACCATGAACATGTGCTTCGAACGAACTAGACAACAAATAACTACAAAGTTGGATTAAAAGTCTCCATGTTTTGATAAAACAATCATTGTCTTTTCAAGAAAATAAGATATTTGAGTTTGACTCAAGTGCTCGAATTATTTGCTACTTGACTTCAACTCAAGATGTCTTTGACGAGTTCCGACTTGATCCAAAAATTGAACACCTGGGCTTGAATAAAAGCTCAAATTGAGACTAATATAATTCAAGATCAACCTGTCCAATTCAAAATCAAGTTGATCGAAGAGATATTCCGGAACAGAGATGACTACGGAGCTACTCGTTTAGATCGGACCATAATATATTACTTTATACTATCAACATATAAAGACTACCCGAGAGCAACTAGAATCAAAGGTCCCATCCAATGCATACAAAAACATGGTTCTGTTAGCACTTACAAGTTCTGCAGCTCAACCTTAATGGGCTGTAGGCTGGGCGGATAGTTTCACATTCATACATGATGTTCTCCCTGAAGCCAAAAAGGACCGTGGATAAAAAAAATATATAAAAAATATAAAAATATATAAAAAAAGGCAGAAAATTCTAATTAAGGAGGTTCACAAGTTAGCAGTGCAAATATAGTGGTATCTTTATTAAAGGTTGAAACTCAGTTGAAGACAAACTCCAGCACATTTTATATAATGGCTAAGCAGCAGTATATTATGAGTTAAATCAAGATCAAAATGGTAAAACTTGAGACTGCTTTATCTAGCGATGGACATGTCGTGAAGTTCCAGTTTTAGCCATGTCGGAAATTGGAATTGAAACCAATGTGATGCTGAATGAGTCATAGACAAGATTTAAATGAATAACGCATCAACTCTGCTCTCTAAAAGCGTAACTATTTTTATTTTTATTTTATTTTTTTTAACCAAGAACAAAATTTGTAGAACCATCTCATTTAGTTAAAATACATAAAATCTTAAATAACAAAAGAGAGTACACGGGATTGTAATTATGATTTTTGAACAACGAACCGGATTAGTTTCACGAAGGCCGGTTCGGAGGTCGGAACGA